CCTTTTCTGATGAAGGGTCTAGGCCCGAAACGTCAGCCTCTCTGCTCCTATGATGCTGCTTGGCCTGCTGTGTTCATCCAGCCCTGCACCTTGTTAAACGTTTATGTTTAACTATTTCTGTCCATGTGCCAAAGGTCGAAGGAATGTGAGAGACTATTAAAACTTTGAATTTCTATGAACAGCAATGAATTAACTTTGGTACAGATAACAATCTCATGAAAGGTACTGGTTTTCTGGGGTTTACACTGAATTCTTAGTTCAACAGTTCTGATGACAGCTTAATGACCTAACTCTGTTCTTCCCTCCATAGTTGGTGCATATCCCCAGAAGTTACTGTTTTGATTTCAGATAAAAATGTCAATCTCATCCAAGTCACAAAGTTTTGGGGTGAAGGGAATGACAGAATCAGCATCAGCTTGAATAAAAACATTGCTTTAAAATAGCAGATTGTGCTAAATGATTGTATTTCGGAAAGGAGGATGATAGTGGTGTTTAGGGTCAGTTAAGGTCATGTTTATTCTGGTATTCATAAATACCATGAATAGTGGAACACAGGCAGTGTCCGAAATCTGGCTGAATAAAAACAATGTTGCCTTAAAACAGTGTTGCCTGAAAACAGCACTTTTTTTAAAGAATGTATATTGTAATTCAGTAAAATAAATACCGTCCTTGGACAATTTGATTGGACACTGCGTTGGTGTGGTCTGGCCCTAAATCACCCACTGTATTTGTTATTTATGCGTTGTTCTACATTCAGAGGTGAGAAAACCTCAAACACTTCCAACAAGAAACAGACAGACGAGCAAAATGGACAGACGAGTAACAGAAAAGTAGCAGGTGATGTGTTTTGGCTGAATAAGGTCTGGAAAAGTAATATAGATTTAGCAGAAGGGTGTATGGGGCAAGAAGGATTGGGATAAAAGTGCATTAAAACACATTACGTGTACTTTTTAAAAAATGAGCCATTTAGGGATTCATAAATAGACCTGGCCCTCCGACAGCGCGGCGCTCCCTCAGCACAGACCCTCCGGCGGTGCCCCCTCCCTCAGCACA